CTAAATAAACGATCTCCTCGGGGACAGCCCTGCTGTTTCACAGTTCTTGTTTCTGAAGAAAGCTCATGGAAACTCTAGAATCCTCAGCAACTGTACGCGCATTGGGAATCTCCCTTTAATGAAAAAAAGAAATCTCAGGAGCAGGTTGTAACCAGCAAACTGTTCATTAAATTTCAAGAAAAAAACATTTCCGCACATGCTTTGCGTGGTTGAAGCGCAGGGACAGGGCTTGTTTTAGGGACAAAAGTTGAACTCGTTGTCCATTGGTTTCATTTTTCAGTATCCAACAAAGACCTACGGACAATCATGTTGTACTGAATAGTCTTTTCGATGTAAGTCAGTGAGGTTGCCGGCTGTGCGTACCTGAATACAGTCTTCCTCGCACCAGACAAAAATGTGCTGATGTTAACAAGACTCACCTCTCCTGGTGGTTATTTATGTCCTATGCATGACCAGAACTGTTTTACCGTTTAGCATGGAAATACAGCAAAGTGTCACAGGTATGTTACTCACTCCTTCTGTTCTTGTGCTTGCGTCTGAAGATATGAAACAAAAGAACTTAAAAACTGATACACTGATAAAATAATCAAAAGTTTCTAAACACCCTTTCAGCACACTATTGCTTAACTTGCTGCCTAAATTACTTTTGGATTTGTGTAATTTCCTCCTGAAAAAAACTGAAAGTAGAACTTGTATAGTACAATTTAAGAAAAAAAACAACAACACATTTCAAAACTCTACAACAAAAAATACAGAAGATAAACACTTGCCTTCGCTTGATAACATATGTTTGATTTTCATGAAGCAATCTGTGAGCGGCCAAAATCAAGTTTTAGCTGAAGCGGATAAAGAAATAGTCTAAAAGCAGTACTCTGTACAGACAGGAATCGAAACATACAGTTTCAGAAAGCCTCAGCCTGGAGCAATAATCTGATGAGACATTATTAATTTCAATTCTGCTTGTTGGCTTCCTGTAATAATAATAACAATAATAATAATAATAATAATAATTGCTTATACTTATATAGCGCTTTTCTGGACACTCCACTCAAAGAGCTTTACAGGTAATGGGGACTCCCCTCCACCACCACCAATGTGCAGCCCCACCTGGACTGCAGCACAGAGGACACTGCAATTGTTATTCAGATCATTCTATCAGCTGAAACAAGCACGTTTGAGTCAACCATTCAGCACATCCCAGAGGCAGGACAAGGAACAGAACTTCCTCTGTTACTCCTGCAATTTGGATGCTGCAGAACTGTGAAAACTATGCTTTCCAGACTTGGATTGATAGAGAAAAAGAAAAGGTTAAAAATATGTTGATCTGCAAAGCACTGGTGTCTGCACACACAAAATTGTAATACAGAAATGAAATTCCCATTCACTGTTCATAAAAATAGCTGAAAACCAAAAACCGAGTGTGTTAACCATCAGTATCTATTTCCAAAGAAATAAAACATTCCATCCAATAAATTTCCTCCTGGGCAAAACAGATGAATAACACATATTCTTTTTCCACTATTATGTACCTTTCTTTAAAAAGTGTCCGAAAAAAAAGATCGTCCAAAAAATGTGCCTTCTCAGTTAGACTCTTTTCCCAATGCAGCCTAACTAACGCTTCTGTAGCCCAGCAATACGCATCACAAAACCAAAGCAAATGTTTGAAGCTCTTTCCAAATGGATAATACATATAAAATGAATCAGAATACATATAAAATACACTGTTCTGTGTAGAACATTCTCATCATAGCAATTAAAAATACAAACTTCTAAGAAGAAGTGTCTAATAATATCCATCTCAAATTAATTCTATTACTGAATTACAAACATTGACGTGTTCAGAAATAAAAGAAGGAGCACAAGCTACTGTATGTTTCGAGAGAAACATACTAAAGGACTTGCACGTTATCTGAGAAGTGTAGCACAGGAGTACACAACTTGCCAAACCAGTTTTTTCAACTTTTCTAGCTTGAAGGCATCTGCAGCTGCCTTCATTTAAATTCACTAAAACCTCAGAAGCTTCTTACATCTAAAACTCTTGATGGAACTGTACTTTCACACTAACATTTTTCCAACACAGGAACTACAGCCTGTTCATTGAAGATGAAAAAACTAAACTTAAAAAAAGCAGCATAAAATCAGAGAGAAAGGGGAAACTCCCTTTTCTGATTGCTACAGTAGTTTACAAACCAATAGCTCAGACCAGTACTGTGATTTGAAGCATTTTGTAAGAATAAACTTTGATGTGGTGATTCCAACATTTACTTTTTCAAGTAATATATGGTTCTTTCTTTAAACTGGTCAATAATACCCTGGTTTCATTTCTGAAAAGAGAAAGAACATGTACAGTAATTCCTCCAGCTAATGTTTGGTACTTATCATTCTTCTCAGGTTACAAACATTTCTAGAAAGAGAAAGAATCTTCAACATGCTCAATCTTTAGAAACAGAGACGCTTAATTTAAGAACAGTATGGCTTAAGCAATAGAATACTTCTCCCAGTTTCACAGAAGCCCCAACCTCGCTGATATTGTTTCAGTTACTGTGCTTCAGAAAAGACAGTGCTTGGTAGCATGTGTAATGCATTAATAGAAACCTGAAAATGTAATCATTTCTTACTTCTGTGGACATGAGAAAAACAAAGGCCACTTCAAAATTCCCACCAGAGTTGGAAGCGAAACAGCAGTCAAGCTTTTCCAGGATGAAATACTATTTAAGAAGCAGCAGGTTACACAGGGGGCATTCAGCATGCGCAGCATCAGGATGTAACTCAAACACCTGCATGTTTTACTGTTTACACTTTATTTTGAGTATCTATCTGAATAGAAAACATTTTTCCAAGTCTTAACAATGTTGCCATTTTCAGATTTGGCTTCTTGCATTTCTTTTAGATGCACAGAAAGAGTTTGTCTTTTGTTAGTGACTGAAATACAGTTCTTAGAACGTCTTGCAGAAAACACAATTACATTTAAAAGTCTTGAAAGCTTTCTTAGCACCCAGAAATCATGTTCAAACAGGATGCCTTTCTACTATCCCCATAAGGCAAAGCCACCTTTAACAGGCCAGGTTATTTATTTTACTGCTTAAATTATTTAAATATAACTTAGAAAATATAAAGAATGTGTATTACCAGTCTAATACTTCCATATGAAACACCAGTTACCATTGTCTTCCACTGTTATCAAGTCAATTACCATAATACCATTTGGTAATATATGCATATTAGTTTCCACCCACATTTTTACACCCTATGTTACTTTTGAAGAGAAATGCGCCCTTTTTTGAAGGATTTATAAATACACAAGTGTGCATGGTGTCAACAACAACCACTGTGTGGGCACTGAGAACGTTAGTCAGATTCCTACAGTACCATCACTCTTCTCTGGCCTGCAGTCAGGGAGTTGCGTGAGTACAGGGGTTACTAAGACAATGCAGACATCAGGCACTCAGTTGTTTCAGTAGTGACACACACATTTTTCAGTTCTCTACGAATAGATATTTTCAGATTTACGAAACCTCCTGGGGGACGCAAAATCATACTAAAACCGTTTTAAACAATGATTTAAGACTTCTTGTGTCTCACTTCTGCTTTCTTTACGTACGTGCAAATCCTTACAACAAGAACACGGATGTTTTGGCCCTTTAAAATCTGGCCACACCGCTTTCAAAACTCAACTTTAAGAGCAGGCGAAGATGTTATGTAACTGCACTGAGCTGACCATTTTCTCTGCATGTGTGGTATAAAACTGCTCCAGGCCTTGTACCACGCTAACAGGCAGTACTCTCCAGCGCATGCTGAGAAACCAAAAAGATTTCAATTACTGCAGGATTCACTGAATGTCATTTCGATTAGAACGCCAGATCTTAAGACTGCATAGTTAACCAGCTTTATAAATGGGAAGGCAGCTTTAAGGACTTAGAACAGAACACACATTAAATGCTTCATTCTATTTCTCACTATTCATTAGTCTTGTTATTAATGCTGCAGCGCAAAGCTGTCTCTGTTGGCGAGTTTGTTAATATTATATCACACAGAGGACTTAGCCTGTTTAGATTTCTTACCAGAGCAAATCCAAGCTGATACACAGTACAGTATTTCTGTTCTCTAATACTTCATTTATCTTGTCTGCCCAGGGATGCCATTTCTTACTGGACACCAGTGCAAACCTGTTCATATTTACTGCTGGCGTGCAGCATGCTTACTCGCACAGTCTGCACACTCTATATCGTTTGTTACCACATTTAGACAGTGACCATACAGATTCTTGCATTGCCCCTACTTTATATTCACGACCACTTTCCAACACAACCATTTAAATGCAGGAGGCTAGGTTATGCATCTGCACAATGGGATATATTCAAAATCCAGCAGCAGCCTTGCATGAATTGAATGTTATTTTCCACGACTTACAGAGCAATAAACAGGGAGGAATACAGACTCCACAACCCTTCTGGAATGTACAGTTTCATGCCCTTGAGAGCTTAGGCTTATATCATAATACATAAACTAGGAAATTATCATGTCTGATCAAATATACAAATGTGCATTTTATAGCAGCCGATACAGAAAACTGCATCAATGAGAAAAGCAAAGCACAGGTGAGCTTCACATCTTTTTAAATGGAATTCAACATACTGTACCAGAGATAAGTTCACCGAAGTATTTAAATGGACACTAGCAAATTGGAGACTCAAGAGTACAGTTTTGTGGATTTCTGCTCCATTGTTGTATTCACACTCGAGAGCCATTTCTCCTTCCATTAGCTGCTTTTCTAAAGCTTAATGCAGCATTCCACATGTTTTGCTAACTGCTATATAAAGACATCACAGCAGCAAACGTAATGCCTGTAGTAAGAACGTACTTGCTGTCATTTTCTTTTCTTTTTTTCCTAAAACATGGCATCGAAAAAGCATTCGCAATTAATTATGGACACTGAAGACACAGGCAGGTGGCTTGCACTGTGAGTCAGTCCCCTGCATCACTCATTCACTCTGCCTTACCTCCATAATGGACTGGGATTTCTATTTTGGGCCCGATGACATAATGGCCTTCTTCCAGACTGTGGGCGGTGATGGTAGTCCACTGGCGACAAGAATGAACCAAAATGTAGTCATTGTCTCTCAGACCTTCTGCAGATTCTCCTGCAATAAAAGGACATTGTGGTTGGGTTTTTTTGCTTGAATCCCATGGAAAACAAAATGATAAAATACTGCAGATACAGTACATATTGCTATTATTCGTGCCAGTGGTTCTCTGTATGTGAAGCACAAACATTCTTCTGTAGGTCTATCATGCTGTATGGGCATTACCCTGTGATTACAGTCCAGAGTTATCCTATGATGTATGATAGGACCTGTAACACCAATAGGCTCGTAATGCATCCATGTCTCAAGGTAAAGAGCACATTGCTACAGCAAAGAATCTGGATCACTGATGTCCACAAAATACAGGTACTGCTAACGTTTTGACCATTTCTAGCAGGTTTCCTAGATGGTCATATATCACCAGGACACAACAGGCATTTTCATGTAACACAGGAAAATGGCCAACTTCCAAATGCACTCTCAAGCCCAAAGAGAACTTCAGAAGTTGGATAAAATCCCCGCAGAGCACACATCATGAAAACAGTACCGCTCGAATCTCATGTCTGCACGTTAGAAGGCTTGTGTTCGAGCACTGCTCATCTCAGCAGTGTTTATCTCCGCTCAGATTATTCCCAGTTTGCCTATGACAGGCTGTTTGTCACAGGGCTCCGAACCTACAAGGGGAAGCATCTGAAAACTGTTAATACAACAGCTCTCCATTTTGAAATTATAAAAAATTACTGGCATATACATAATACTTATCATCCAGGAGGATCACAAACTGCTTTACCTAGAAGATGGGACCAACTTCCCCTGTGAAGCGCAGTACGCACCCGTTGTGTGGCAAGCATTACGCTGTAGAAGCCCCACTTCAGGACAGATCAGGAGGAGACGCAAGAAAAGGCTTCACCATGTGAATTAATTACTACCTACAGGTCCAACAGCACCTCTTACAGTGGTGCAACTGGCTGTCCTTGAAGGCTTATTGCCTTTCTAACAGTCTCAAGTGAAATGTAGTAGAGTAGTATTGAATTAGTGTATTTTACAAACAAAATATATATTTCAGTACTGCTGGGACAGGAATTTATAACATGACTGGGGGGCTTTTTGCAGACCCTCCAAAGTCTTGGTGTAAAAAATGCCCCCAGATCTCAGTTTTAAATGATTCTGTTGATTCTGAAGTTCTGGGTTAACCTTGTCAACACCTATGAGGATTTTGAATACTGGGATAAATCACCTCGTAGTCTTCTCTGATCCAAGATAAAACATTTCAGTTTTTTACCCATCAAAGTACAGCTCTTCTTTAAGACCAGGAATCTAAATGGTTACTCTTTTCTGAACAAATTCCAGAACACCAAGTTCTTTTATGTAATATGGTGAAGAACATCTTTCAAATTAACAAGTAATATGTTTATTCCATGCTGAAAAGAGAGGAAAGATAACAACGTTTCGGCCGTGGAGCCTTCTTCAGGTGTGAGCTTGTTCCTTTGCAGCTTACACAAGCTGATGCAGCTACCCACCTGAACATCTTTCAAAATGTTCCAAAAAGCCATATTAGTGTTTTGTACAATATTAAAATAACATCCCTTGATTTACGGGTTATGCCTTTAAATATATAGCTACAATCTCATTTTCCTTTTGCACATTTCTACATTTTGCGGTCTGTATATTACTCTCAAATACCAGTCTTGAATTCGATCTAAATCTGAATTTCATTTTCAGTTTCTACAGATTAACTAATCTTCACTTTAATCCTTCACTTTCAAATTTCTCTAATTTACTAACTATACCACAGTATAGATCATTGACAGTATTATGAAGTGCTGTGGTGCTAATTTAGATGCCAGCAGTACTCCACTAATTGCACCACTAATACAATTAAAAAGAGAAGTGGTTCTAATACAGATCCCTGTGGTACTCCACTAACTACATCACACCAATTTGAATACTTTCCTTTGGTTTGAATGCCTAAAGTCTGAAATTTGATAATTAAATCTTCCACGAGGAACTTTAACAAAAGACTTTCGAAATAATTAATATACCCTATTGTATGGTCTTTATCCTTTTTTCAGGAATACTGGCACAAATATCAAAATGTGTGTAAATTATATACTATACAGTACATAGCCAAACAATTCAAAATAAACATACAGTAGCAGCAAACTAAATGAACTACAAATGTTTTTTTTGTTTAACACTGATTAGGAAATGTAGTTTTATTTCAAAATGTCAGTTTAACAGACATTAAGACAGACATTTTTGTTTTACAGAGAATCAGCTCTAAACACATGGCTTGGAAGGTTGTTCCAGACCCTCACAACCCTTTGAAGTGCTCTTCCAGTTCTCAGTTCTGAATGCCCCTCCACGTGGGTTTCCAATTGGGCTGTCTGTTCATTCTGAAGAAGTCGGCTGTGTTGACTTTATCAGTGCTTTTGAATATGTTGAATACTTGTATCAGGTCCCCTCGTAGTCTTCTCTGTTCAAGGCTAAAGAGATTCAGTTCCTTTGCCTGGCAGTGTACAGTAGGTTTCATTCCTTTAAGCTCCTAGAATGTATCCAGTTATTCTTTTCTAAACTGATTCCAGAGCAGTAATATATTATCTATAATTGTACATAATATTCTAAAAAAATCTTAATGGACAATTACAATATTCACATAAAATCCCTTGATTTCAATTCTTAACTTTCAACTATACAACCCAACTTTTTGTTGGCCTTTTTAGTTGCTTCCCACACTTCCCACAAATGATCGAAAAAAGACCAAGGTGTCTGAAGTAGCCACTGCTCTCATGGCGTTTCCCATGTTTTATTTATAGTTGATTTTTTTTATACCTGCATACAAAACCCTACACTTGTCCACATAAAACTTCATCTGCCTGGTGTTTGCCATTCTGAATTTTATCAAGATCTTTGAATTTCATTTGCATTATCTACAGTGTTTGTTCATCTAAACCTTACCAGAATCTAGCTCACTGATATAATAAAGAAGAGCAATGGCCCTAGTACAGATACTTGTGGTACTCCCCACTAATAGCATCATCCCAATGTGAGCATTCACCCCTTATCTATATCCACTGTTTTCTATTAACCGATTCCTATTAACCCACTCACACTTCCCTCAATGTCTATTGTGTGCAATTTTAATTAATCTTTTATGATTAGAATTATGAAAAGCCTTCTGAAGATCAAAATACACCATATCATAAGCTGTATGTGTATCCATTACTTGTTCAAAGACCTCTAACACATTACTTAGGCAAAACCTACCTTTTCTACATCTATGCTGACTATTTCCTAGGATCTTATTTCTGTTAAGGCAATCCTGTAGTTTAGTTCTATGAAATGTTTCCATAACATTACATGTAAGAGAGGTCAGACATATTGGTCTATAATTACTTGGGTCAGTTTTCTAACCCTTCTTATGGATATACACTACACAAGCATCTCTCCCAGGTATGACCCCTGTCTTTAGTGATGATTAAAAGAGATGCATATAGTACCCAAAACACGTTTGCGTTTTCTTTCCTGATATTGTTTAATACAGAACCTTGCCCTTCAGCTGCCTGAGGCTTGTTATTGACCACTACCTCAGTGAACATCTGAGTGAAATACTCCTTTAGTATCAGCCATTGTACTGTCTAGAAGTTCCCATTTTTGTACCTGATATATTTTAGCTCATCTCTGATGCTCTTATAGCAATGAAATAGCTTTTTAATAGTTATTTTAGCCTCAGTAACTTTTACCATTCCTTTCAATTTCTTTCTTGGTATTTTAATATCATTGTTAACTTTGTTTTACCTGTGTTTGCAATAGATTGCACTCTTTTTCATTAGGCATGGCACCTATCATAAAGTAGCATACATAAGCCCATTATCTTATTAAATTATATCACAAGAGCTACTGCAGAACATGATCTGCTTTCTTCATATCAAAGGGAAAATTAGTGAGGCCAGATTGTGCAAACCTACAGCAGAGTTTAGCTATGACACCAGGATGAGCACTCTAATCTTACATTTAGACCTTTAAATGAACAGGTAGGCAGTACCTCAGTTTACCATCTCATCCAAAGAATGGCACCTCCTACATCATAGCATCACCTGTGATCATACTGTGGCACTGGTTTTATTCTGATTCACAGGGAACACCACCACCTAGGGGTCCACCAACGCCTCTTACGCAAGGAACTTGGCTTTCCTTTGAGATTTTCCATCCCAGTACTGATCAGGCTCAGCCTTGCTTAGCTTTCAAAAATCTAACAAGATCATACTAAAAAATGTAACACCATACCAGAGCCAAGACCTTGACCCAGATAGCCTGTTATTTCAGATCACCACAGTACAAATAACAACTGAAAAACATTCCAAGTAGAGCTGACTAACCAAGAAAACGTAATCTGTGACAAAAGTACTTTCTGCCACATTCTAACTGTCCATCTGTAGCGCTCCTGTTGTAAAGACAAAAGTGCAGCTGAATTTAAACTGATCTCCTACAAGCATGGCTCTCTTTAGGTCCTTGCACAATATCTAGGTAAAAGCTGAGCTAAATGAATTAGACAAATCAAAGCAAAGAGCATGAGGTGTGTGACATTAGAGGTTTAAAGGTCAAGCAAACCTGAACATTTCAACACAGCCTCTAGTGTAATCTACTGTACTTCTACACAAAAGTTAAAGTTTCGAGGTCAAACAGCAGAGAAACTATGCAGACTGTGTGGAGCAACTAAGGTTTAGCAACAGCTACTTTGCTGTTCTGAGATATGTTACAGTCCCACAGCTGGATAATGAGAAAAATACTGAATACACTACTGATTTCTATGTTGCACATTTCAGATTTATCCGAAGACTTGAATCTGCTGTTTCCCAAACTTAATCAGACTTAATAGAGTAAATGGATTTATTTTAACACACCAGCAATACATTTATCTTTGGCTGATAAGACCTGCAATTGTGCCAAAGTAAAAGCCAGTTGTCAAGAGCAGTCTTGTTGTCTGGAAGTATCCTGGCACAGATGCCAGCCAGAATACTGGTATGTGCTTATATAAATCCTTAGTGGGAACTGTT